CAGTGAGACGGGTGAGGGTCAACGGGACTTCTTTTTGGCTCGACCTTTATACTATGAGCGATGATACTTCTTATATGCTTGTGTTTCCATACTGTTTTACTGGCATGATAGTTATGTGATTTCTTAAACTGTATTTGAGATATGTGTTACTCTCAAGATATGTGTTATGTGATTTGTGTATTGTCAGTGAGCTATATTTATATGTTGTTACAGGTTTTCGAAATGTGAACTGTATATGTGTATGTATACTTGTTGTTGACTTACATGTGAGGATGGTACCATGTGATATTTATTTGGGGATGGAAGGAGCTCAGCTGGAGTACGGTGATCTATAGCGTCTAGCGGTGAGTTGACCTAAGTCCTTTATGAGGCGGCAGGGGCCGTGAGTATGATGTGCACTATTGTGATTCTTCTGTCGTCGAGACGGTAGATTTCTCTGATCGTGAGAAAACGAGACAGGATCTCGTGATGTGATGTTATGGGATGGTAGGCTTAGTCGACGGACGGTGGGCTGTAGCATGCGGGAGTGCCTTGGACCCTGTGCCGAGATGTGATTTTGGGTTACCAATGTCACGCCCCAAACTTGGGCTCATGACCGGCATTAGGGTCCACCAATCCTAGTAAGCCTCAACAAAACCGTCAAACTCCAAAGATACAAAATATAAATTAAATGCAGTAGTGCAACATCTAAAAACTACCTGAGATCTTGTCTGAGAGTATAAAGAAGTTACTCTAAAATATAATAGGAAAAAGATAAAAAAGAGAAGTGCTCGTACATCCATCAAATTCGCTGCGCCGACTCCCACTCAGGCACGCTAATCGAGGTGAGTACAACCAAACAAATCTGGAATGATGATAATATGTGAGTCGTGAAACTCAGTGAGTACAAATGATACCTAATCTATGCATGTTGAGATATGCATCACGCCACAAATATAAAACTATACATATACAGTGATTAGTAAAACATAACAAACATACGCTTAAGGATACTGTCAACCAAACATCTAATCACATCACCAAATCTGGGCCTACTCACCACTAGATGTTACGGATTACCGTACTCCAGCCGAGTTTCTGCCGTCCTCGAATCACATCATATCACACGATACTATCTTCACATACAAGTCAAAACAGGTAGACATACACATATACAGTTTATATCTCAAAAACCAATATCGCACACCAACTTAGATCACCGATAGTTCATAAAACACATAACACATATCCTAAGTAACATATAATCAAAATACAGTTTCTAAACTATATAATCATCATGTCAGAAAATCACAGTATGAAAACACAAGCATAGAGAGGGTATTATTACTCACAGTATAGACGCTAAGCCAAAGAAAGAGTCCCGAGTCACCTTGCCTAACTCAATGGTCCGGATGTGCCCCTGCCTGCGAATCTGCAATCAAAATCACACAAAACCATCACCAACGCCAAAACCAGCACAAGAAACAGGCTTAATAGCCAAAATCGGCCTAAAATCCCATCCCGACACCTTGGCATGCATTTCAAGGCACCCAAACCCATAACCGAGATCCACTTGACTCACTAACACTCAACATCTCTAATTAAAGACCCTCAATCCTACGAAACCAGCCTCCACAACCCTCGAACCGTAGCGAACCGGCATTCAAAACCTTTGAACCAGCTTAACTTGGTTCAAAACTACCTCCAACTCAACTCAAATGGCCACAAAACCCTTAAAATCGAAATCAGAAGGCCCCAAAACCCTAAAGGCTGGTCTAAATGGCCCAATAAGGCCTTGAACCGGCCTTGAACCGAGCCAAAACCCTAACCCTAAGCACTGGCACACAAATCGAGCCCAGTTCACCTTGAACCAGATATCCAAAAATCACCAAACTTCATGGTTAGCTAAGTTTCATCATGTTGAATTGGGAACCGGTTCAACCTCCCCAAGAATTGGCCTAAAAACTAGTGAACCGGTCATCTGAAGGGCACTACACTAAACTAGCCGGTTCACCTCGAATCGACCACCCAAAATTTTTCGAACCCACTTGGTTTGATAGATCTTTTCTTCCTGAATCCAGAACCAGTCCAATTTCCCAAAACCAAGCCCATTTGACCACTGAACTGGTCAGTCAAACCTTTTGGCCAGTTCAGTCAAACCCCTTTAAAAAAAAAAAAAAAAAACAAAGGCTGGCTTAGCTCGAGCAGCCAGCCCAGCGGCTCGGGCCCAGCCCAAGACCAAACCATCTCTTTTTTTGTGTGGGTTGGCCCCCGGCCCAAACCCACTTGCGACTGGGCCCAAACTGGCCTAGTCCAAGCCAAACCCCTTTGGCCCGGGTCAGACCCAACCCAAGCCCAATCTGTCCGAACCCAGATTCTCATCCGAGTTCGTCCCTGTTGCCTGGAAGAAGCAACCCGGAATCCCATCCAGGTCTACAACAGACCCAGAAACCCCGAACAGCTCAAAACTTGATTTTGGAAGCTTACCCGATCCGATCTGCACTCCGAAACTCCAAAACCGATCCAGCCGAACCTTGAAGACCCTTTAATCGTTTAAAAAGCCAGCCTCAAAGCTCCAAAAAGCCAAGAAAATCCGTCGGCCGTCTACCCGCTCTATCGGCCAAGAAACCTCCAAATCCGCTCGTTTCTCTCTCTAAAACACCAAATTGATTGAGACCTTCAACGCAATGGACAAAAACAAACTTAAAAGCTCGATTCAATCGAGCTAAATACTCCAAATGATTACAGTATGGCTTCAATAGTAGCTTGGTTCACTATTCATGACAGGAATTTCTGTCAAATTAAAACATAGTCCTTCGACTTTGGTTCCTCTTCAAATAAGTTCCTAGTGAACTTCCATTTAAGCTCCTCAAAATTCAATTCTTGCAGTAAGACCCTCAGCCTTAATAAAAATATAAAATCTGGGTCATTACAACCAAGGACTCACCTGGCAGGCAGTGTATTGCCATAGCGTGCAGGAAGTATCCTGACCCAGTAGATGTGATATGATGGATTGGTTATGATGATACTTCACATGCTTGTTCTACATGTTACTTCTCAATGTAAATACTAGTATATGTGTGGTATTTGATTTGAGACATGTTACATACTCTAACATGCATAGCCTAGGTACCACTGTACTCGTTAAGTCTCACAACTTACAGTTTATAATTTTTCAGATTTGACTTGCTACTCTTGCCTTGATTAGCGCGCCAAAGTCAGAACTAGGATGTGGCAGCTTTGTAGACGTACGGGCACATTTCTTTTTTGTATCTTTTCATTTGTATTTTAAAATAACTTTTTTGAACTCTCAGACAAGTCTTAGTGATTGGGTATTGGGTTAGCGCATCATAATTTATATTTATCGATGAGTTTTTTGTCTGTTTGGGTGTTTTGAGGCTTACTAGAGTTAGTAGACCCTAGTGCCGTCACGGGCCTGGGTTTTGGAGTGTGACACGATGAATTTCAAGTATCGGAGGTTGTTAAACCCTATTTTACTGTCACACATCGCTCGAGTTATGGGGTGGAATGTGACAGTTGCGATACTCTATCCAAGAGTTGTCAGCATTTATTAAATCTTTTCTTGTCAAATGAAAAACTACTGTATCAATTGACAAAGACATTTAAAAGAAAAAAAAATGACTTTTTTTCAAGTGAAATGAAAATTGGATTTATATAATAAAAGAAAAATCTTTCACTCCTTAACCAGAAATGTATGAAATCCTGAAAGAGAAATTAAATATAATAGAATTGGTTGAGCGGTAAAGTCATGGAAACATATTTTTCTTCCACATTTTAGGCCCTAGTTCCATGGAATAACATGCTATTGCTAAAACATGAAAGAACTAAAATCTTATATCAAAACACTATATATTAATGGTATAAATTGTCTGGACAAGAATTTTTAAACAGTAAACAATCAATTTAGATACTTACAACTAAGAAATATTAAATTCTCTTTTGGATAGATCCCGAAAGGATAATGAAAATTGAAATGGAAACATGCATCTATTATAAAATTCACCCCACCCGACGTTACTCATTTGGGAATCGTCTAGTGCCAAAGTCATTAAATGGATATATCGTCAATTTCTAAAGTAGATTATATAATATGCTTTTCATGGTGGATGACAAGCACGTAATTTCTCAGAGGTTTATAACCTACCTTTGCATGGTTCCTATTAAAACACCTTGCAACTGGTTGAGAAAAAATCAATCATTTGCTTGCAAGTTGCAACAAAAGTTTAAAATATTGACGGACTAAAAAACTGAAAGAGAGACACTTTGAGCAATTACTTTTTTTGGGTTATGACGGGTGAAGCCCACTTCAAAATGAATTTACCTACATTACATATTTAAGGAGGGTTACAAAATTTTTTTAAGACTTCAGACTCATTTGTGATGCCAAAAAAAAAAAAAAAATCGACTCCATTATGTAATTTACTTTGCAAGATTTTTTAAATTTTAGAATCTGATAAATTTTAGTTATCTCTTGCAAAAAAATATTCTAAAAAAAAAAACTCATTATTTTCACGAAAGAAAAACATAATACAAAATTCAAACATAACTTTTTAACTTAAAAATATAAAGAAAAACATTGATATAGACCCATAAGTTCTTGAAACATCCTCAAAGGAGCTTAATCAGATGCCAGCTTCAAAAAGTTTTGGGAGGCTTCAAGTGTTTCAAAAAGCCCTCCTAAACCCATGAACCAAGCTTCATCTAAAATCAGAAACCAAAACCTTCAAAAAGCCTCTGACCACACACCCTTCAATATTTTTATATGCTTATGACTTGACCCTAATTGAGGAGAGGCCTTTTTCCTTATATGTTACGATCAAGGAAGAGACATCCACAGATGAATATTTCTTCATCTTCTTCAGCTTTTAGATGCGCTAAACGGAAAATATTAAAGCCTCTGTGCACGTAACAAACTTATATAGCTTTTGAATATCGACTGGGCTTCTTTTAAGTAACAAGAAAACTATGTAGATCCTGTGAAGTGCCATTTTTAGCCTACCTCAGTTCTTATGCTGCAGCCTCCCGCTCTCCGCGCCAGCATATGGATCAATTATAACATTAATAACAGCCGGCTTCCGAGCAGAAAAAGATTCGGCAAGAGTGGATTTGAGTTCATTAGGTGTCTTGACAATGTAACCTTTACCGCCAAAAGCTTCAATTAGTGTGTGATAAGCTGCGCCAGGGACAAAGGAAGTGGGCGCCGGGTCATCCTTGTAAGGCCCTGTGATTTCTTCTGAACTTCTCCGGTCACCGCCATATACACCACCATTGTTAAATACAATGACCACCACAGGCAACTTATATCGAGCCAACGTCTTCACAGACAAATAAGCAGAAAACATACAAATCAAAGTAAGTAATTATGGAAGGGTGCATGAAAATATATTAAAGATTGAATCAATTTTGAATTCTCTCTCAAAGTGAGGAGTTGGTTATCCTGGATGATGGGAATCCATCCAGCCTATTTCATGTAATTCGTACTAGTTACAATAATAGGCCCTGCTTTTCATCCTTACTTATAAATCAGCAGAATGCAGAATTTCTACAATGTGCTGTGAAAAGGACTATTAGCTGTCATTGATCCCACAATCAGAGGGATACTTGGTGTCTTGATCCTCCCCACAAGTTTATTTACTGATTCAGTTGGATTAATATTACAAATAGACAGTTTGAAACAATATCTAACAAGAACTACACCAGTGAGGACAGAGATGGCTCATAGATTAAGTAGCCAAAGTCATATTTCTCTGAGTTTATTCACAAAGTTTTGACTTTATGGTCCATTTGCACGAAAACCATGAAAGACAAATAGAACTATTCCAAACTAAAAATTTGCATAGCTAGGCTCTACAGTAAGTGATCGTAAAGGAAAACCAAAACATTGATTTTTATTTTTCAAAAGAAAAGTGGTTAAAGGACAGATTTGAAGTAACCATATCTAACCACCTATGCATCTTGATTTGAAAATCTTCGCAAGGATGAAAGCAAATACCAACTGCTCCCCCAACAACGTGTTTTTATTTTGAGCATTAAGCAATATGCCAAGTCACATCAAGTAGGGATTTAATCTGTGCCAAAAGCAAACCAATACTTTCTCTCCTTCCAAGCTAAGCAAGAAGCTCATTATGGCATATAAAGTATAAAGTATAAACTAGCAAAACAGCTACAAAATGGAGTTGTCGAGCTTGGTAGAATGAGTTTCTGAACTTCTGGCTGATCAAGATTTTTACCTTGTATAGATGAAACTGTATAGAACGAAAGCTCTTTGTGACTTTAAGAAATCCTACTTTCCGGACCGAGGCCTGTTGAGATTTTGTGTTCTGTTTATGTTCTTAGTTTTGTTTTTCTAAGTTTTTGGAAAAGAAATCACAGAAATCGAGAGGACTCTATTGATCTCATACCATTTTCATTTTTTAGTTTTCTAAGATTTGGAAAAATTTACTTCTCCTTTTTCAAAAATGGGCATGTTTTATAAAAATGAAGAGTTGTTAAACTGGTAGAATGAGTTTTAGAATTTTCTCCTAATCAAGACTTTTACTTTATATATATATATATATATATATATATCCAACTGTGTAAAACTCAAAAGGTTCTTTTCGGCTTTCAGAAATCCAACTTTTCGAGAAACTGATGCCCGTTAATAATTTATGCTCTGTTTTATGTTCTTCATTTTCGTTTTTCTATGTTCTGGAAAACAAAAATCACTGAAATCTAGAGAACTCTATTGATTTCATTACGTTTATACATTTAGCAAAATAGTCTCTAAAAATTTGGAAAAACTTTTTTTCTTTTCTCAAAATAGGCATGTCTTATAAAATTTCTCTCAAAAACAGTTTCTAAAAACAACATGCTAAATGGGTTTCCTGTTTCCAAAAACGGATAGCTGTTTTTATAAACAGTAAATGCCAAGCGGAAACGCATATAAACTCTAGCACTGACATCTCCAGTTACCAACAATGCATGAAATATATCAGATTATAACCAAGTAGGGAGACAAACCTCAACTTCCATGGCACTAAAACCAAACCCAGAATCACCCTCCACCGCCACCACCAGCCGCTCCGGTGAAGCCACAGCAGCTGCAATGCAGTATCCCAAACCAACCCCCATAGTCCCCCATGTCCCAGCATCTAGCCTAGTCCTCGGCTCGGTTTGGATCAAACAGCCCTTCCAACATCCATAGTATTTGCCCCTTCGGAGACCAAAACAGGAGCTGGACTACCCATTTCCAGAATTGCATCCCTTATAATCCTCATAGGTGTTAGAAAATTAAACGGCACAACATCCTTTGCCAATTGCGCCTCCATTTTCAACACATTTTCCTTCGATTTCTTGGAAATAGCCTCAACCCATGGATGACATTGTCCCAGACTGAAAGGGTTTTTGTCGATCTCCTTATTAATCATCTCCAATATCTCTTTTGCATCCCCAACTAAGCCTAAACATGGCTTTCTCAGCTCAATTTCCTCCTTGCATATATCAACTAAGATGAACTTTACGTCATTTGACCACTTTGGGGGCTCACCGAAATGTAAAAGCCAGTTTAGCCTTGCCCCAACCACGAGTGCCACGTCGGATTTTCCGATTGCCAGCGACCTCGCCGCTGTGGCGGCGAGCTCGTGAGTGTCTGGCAACAAACCCTTCCCCATCGGAGTGGGCAAGAAGGGAATTCCAGTTCTCTCCACCAATTTTTTTACTCCATTTCAGCTCTAGATATTGCAGCACCTTTCCCAAACACAATCAGAGGCCTCTCTGCTTTTCGCAATAGCGAAACTGCTTTTGCAATCTCAGAGGGGTTCGCAGTCTCAATCACAGGTTCTTCCCCGCAATTTTTAGCTTCAATGAGTAACTTCTCGGCTTCAGATTCCGTGATTGTTTGGTGAAGCACGTCGGAGGGAAGATCCAGGTAACACCCACCGGGCCGGCCCGAATAAGCATGCTTGATAACCTGAAAAACACAATTAGGGATTTCTCGAATGTCCGTAGCTTTCGCAGAAAATTTCGAAAAGGGTTTCACAGCCTCCAATTGGTCGAGCTCCTGAAAGTCGCCGTGGCCAAAATCGTTCTGGTCGCAGGAGCCGGAGATCATCACCATGGCCAGCCGTTGACGGCGGCGTTGGAGAGGCCGGCGAGGCCGTGGACGCAACCGGGCCCGGATACAGTGAGCATGATTCCGGGTCGCCCCGAGAGGTATCCGTATGCAGAGGCCGCGTAACCCGCCGACTGCTCATTGTGGAAGGCGATGAATCGGATGCCCAAGGCGACGGCACGGGTGGCAACTGCGGTCACAGGAATTCCGACGACGCCGAACATGTGGGCCACGTCGGCTTGAGCGAGGGACTTGGCCACCAGAGCGTTGCCGTCGACGAGGGAAGGGTGTGAGTTATGGGCGTCCGCCATCGGCTGTGAGTTAAAGAAGTCAATGTGTAGAGAAGAACAGAGAGGAAGGGAAGTCAGTTGACGATTTGAGGGAGTGATTTGGGCTAGTTTATATAGGTTTTCTGAAGATTGAGCCGGTCCAGGTGATTTGTATATCCAAGTAAGACCTGAAATTGAGGTTGGACATGGAGTCGGAGGAGAAGCAAAATTTGTTCTTGGCAATTCCCTACCGGTCCCCCGCCGCCAACTCTGTCGCCTTTTCTTTCCTTTTTAGTTTAATCTACTAAAAAAATTAAAAATTAAATAGGCAGTTTTTGTGGCGAGTTTCCAGCTTTTCTCTTTATTTAAATTAAAATTATTCAGACAAGTTACATTTTCTCAACCAATTCATCACACTATAGATTAAGTTTCTCTCATCCAACGGCTCTAAAAAAATATTGTTATGTCACATTGCATTCTTTCTTTAAACACGTGTCATTTGTCGTTTTCTTAACTTTCATACGCCACCGCCATCTCATTCCTTTCGGCTGATGCATCGTGTATCTCGGGAAGGCATAAACTGTTTTAAAATAGAAAATTAAATAAAAACATATATATAAATAAAAAATATAAAAATTTATGTAATTTGATATAATTAATTTATATTTATAAAAAATAATTATTATTATAATTTTTCATTAATAAATATCTACAATACAAATTTATTTATGCACACCTAAATATAGAAATTAAAATAATTTTTTGATTTCTATGTATAATTATTATAAGGATAAATAGTACTTTATTTTTTAAAAATTTAAATTTTAACATTATACTCCAGCAAACATATAAAAAAAAATCTTCTTCTTGTAAATGTTAAATTAAAATAATATTTATTTCTATTTATAATTGTTATAAGGATAAATAGCACTTTACTTTTAAACATTTAAATTTTAATATTATACTTTCTAAAAATATATAAACAAGATCTTCTCTTTTATAAATGTTAAATTCATAACATTTACCCTATCAATTGTTATTTCAATAAAGTAATTATCAAAAATTTTATTTTAAAAAAATATAAATATCTTTTTAAAAATAAATAACAACCGTAAATAGTTGATACCAGGAACACCGACTTTAGATTATTGAAATAGAAAAATATCAATCAATATTTATATTTAAAAAAATATTTATATCATTTAAAACTAAAATTTTTGATAACTATTTTACTAAAATATTGATTTGAAGATGAATATTATAAATTTCATATTCAAATGGAGAGGTGTTTGAAGATGTTATAGTATTATTATTTAAAATTTTTGGAGAGTAAAATATTATTTTTTCTGATTATAATATCTCTCTTTTAATATAAAAGAAAGGGTTAAATTAAAAAATAAAAATAATTAATTTATTATAAAATAAAGCGATTTAATTTTTTATTTTGTTCCCAAACAAATCAAAAAAATGTAATAGTAAATTCTTCGTAGCTTGAGAAAAATCATTAAAAAAAGCCATGTCGCGTTACAGCTAGCAAATCCCTTCAAGCCACGTGGGCAACTTCCATATCTTTCTAATTTAATTTCTAGTTAAAAAACTTATAACATTTACTGTACATAACTTATTGACTATACCAAAAGCCAAGAATTTTTTAATTTATTAATAATAAATATTATCAGTTATACTCCACCTTAATAAAACCCCTCTACTTTTTTCACAAATCACTAGCTGTACTAAATATATATATATATATATATATAGTAAAAGTGGCTAAAAATATAAATATATAAAAATAAAAAATATTTTTTAAAATAATATATTTTGCTATATATAAAAATTATATGAAAATAAATTTAATCATGCGCAATAAAAATTTCGTGGGCACCATCTATTATTGGAGGAAAAGACAAGACGTATCATTTATTCATTTCAACGTCGTTTTCATTTTTTTAGTCATGGACAAATAGCTTCATTAGTTAATTTTATTTAAGGGATAATGTTGGACAACTTGTCCCTGTGGGATGAATATAAAAATATATTACTTTATATTTTACTAAAAAAATGTCTCCTTGGTAATCACATATAAATGATTTAAATCATGTTTATATGTTGAGAGTTTTGCAATTTTTAAATTTGAAAGTAGATTTAATTTTAGTTACGTAGTTAAACTTTTAAATAAAATAGGCGACTTCAATTTGTTAAACCAGCATGTTAGTGGAGACAGTGAATGATTCTAAATTATTGGATGAAGTTAACTGGTGTTTGTTATGTTGTTTTAAAATTAGAATTTGATTCTTTTTTAATTACATTTCTTCTAATTAATTAACACAATAAATAAAGCATACACATCAATCATAAAATAATTTTTAATTTTTATCATATATAGTCTGTTTGTGCAAGTTGTTTTTCAGCAATTTTCTCGTTCTAACTATTTTTTTAGTAGTTTTCTCTGTTTGTGTCATTGATTCTTTTGTTATTTTTCTTTAAATTTCATATAAAAATAATCAAAAGTAAAAGTATTTAATCTAATTTTTTTTGTAACTAATGATATAATTATAAATAATTAAAATTATTATTAGCGAATATATCATAATATTTTTATTATAATTCTATTTCATCATTATCCAAATCAATAAAGATATTGTTATATGGTTATTTATTTTATTAAATCAAAAATTAAATTAGAATTCAACAATAAGTAAAAATATATTATGTAAATTGAAAGCAAAATTATTTGAAAAGGAGAATGTTAATAACTAGATTTTAAAAATTATTAATAATTTATATAAAGGTGACTCTATAAATTATTAAAAATAATTAATAACTTATACAAATTATTAATAATTTATTTATTTTTTATTTTAATAGCTTCAAACTTTTATTTATAACCAAAAAAATTTATTTTATGGCCATATATTTCACTTTTAAAAAAATTTGACAATTTAAACATTTTACTATAATAAGTAATTATTACAACTATTTTATAAAATATCAATTTATCAATTTTTACTAATTGTCAATAAATTTTGCCAACATCTTCAATTCCTATACTTTCAACACCTTTTTAACTATTGTTATTTTTCAGTACTTCTTTACAAATAGTAACTTGTACAGACAGGTCTATAATACTCATTTTATTTGAAGGTTTTTAGACATTTAAACCTTTATGACTCTTTAATTCTTATTTTTTATAATTTAAGATTAGATGTGATTTAATACGAGTTGAATTTTAAAATATTATATTTTTACTGTTTGAATAAAAAAAATAAAACTAAGACTTAGATTTTATGCGATTTGATGGCATTTGATTTAACTTGTCAAAATCTTATCAATACTGACAAAATTTGTTAAAATTTGATGGGATTTGGATTTTAATAAAATCATTTTTTAATTCAATCTCTCTCGTAAGCATTTTTTTATAAAGTTGAAAAAAAGAAACAAAACAAATAACAGATTCACATAGCACTATGTTTTTTATTTGAAAATTTTTTCTATATATATATATAATATTTTTAATTAATTTATATTTATATATTTTTTCACTTTATTTGAATTTTTCTACTTTCTTTAACTTATAGTTACTATTTCTCACGGGTGATCACGTACACGAGATATTAGAATTATTAACTACTTAGTAAATCTCTTTTGAAACTAATTGTTTTAAAAGATATAATAGCAAAACTCTTATTTTTAATTTCAAATTCTATTTCTTTCCAAAAGTCAAATAGAATTTATAAATATTTATTTTTTTTACCAAATAATACTAAAATAAAATAAAAATTGGATTTAAAATTCATGAAATTCAAAATTTCATTCCTTTTTCTTGCCAAACATGGGGTTATATTTTTGGCCTTTTTCCGTTGAGCTTATTACCAAGTGAATGTATTTTGATATGTATATAAATATATATATATACATATATATGTATATAAATATATATATATATATATATATATGTATATAACTCTATTAGTATCTCTTTGTACCAAACACCAGTTGTACAAAGAGAACTCTCGTTTCAAGTAAAAAAATCACTCGTGTCAAATATTTTACAAATTTTTAAATTTTTTAATTTTTTTAGTTTTTTTGACAAAATGAAAAAAAAATCATCACTAGACTTTTTATCCCATGAGAGTCACCGCTAATTCTACCACTTTTGAAAAACGTATATAATAGTAATCGTAATGTGTTATCCTCCTTGAATAAGAAAAGATAAATAAGAATTCACAGATTGTAATGTGCATGTGCAAATAGTACTTGTAATTTTAACATTCATTCATTCGTTTGAGATAATTTATCTACTCTTTATTTTGTCTACCATGGTTTTACCCAATCTGAAAAATGAGTTCTAACATGTGAAATGTAAAAATAATAAAAGTAAAAATTATATAAAATAATTACCTTAAGCCATCACAAGTAAGACTATCTTCAGTCTGGTTCTATTTGGTTCAGTTGATAGGGGATAAGAGAAATTTATCTCCCTTTATCACATGTTCAGTTTATATGTAACAAATCTTGATAAAAACCATGAGACAAATATGGTATCAGGATTAGGTAGAATTACATTATAAGCGAGGAGGGGTCTGATACTTGTATCAACTTATAACAGAGTATAAGTGAAAAATTATTTTTAGACCAAAATGCCCTCACTATTCACTTGGTAAAAGACCAAAGTACCCTTAATGGACAAGCAAATAGATGGGGCATCTTCACCCATTCTCATTCACAGCTTTCTACCCATTATAAGTAACCTAGCCTGCATATCTACTACACAATCATTGATCCACTGTCAAAGGCTACTATAGGGGTCGGGCATGGATAGATGGTAATCATTTTCCATCGATGCACATAGAGATAAAAGGCAGATGGCTATCATCTGACGTCTATGCATACAGAGTAATGTAAGGGTCGATTATGGATAGGTGGCCATCATCCTTCATTGGCACACATAGAGATAGAAGGCAAATGGTCATCATCTAGCATTCACACATAAAGTGTCATAGCTCAACTCACTGGTAAATATTGTTCATTTTAGGCCAAAA